CCGGGTTTGCTAGTATATGTATATATATGCACAGACACAATAGACACACATATATATATATATAAAATATATCGATGATGAGACTGAAAGGGACTTATGAAAGGAGTTCAACGTTAGTGTGGAAGGCTATCCAGAAGAAGTGCGTGAATTTTCTTTTTAAAAATGAACCTATTAGGTGACTTTCTAATGGAGTCAGGGACGCTAGGCTGTTCCCATTTTAGATTATATTTTTATTTTAAGAAAGAAAGAAAAACATTTTATTGGCCTTCACAGCATGAATATCGAAATTCAAAATGGTTATAGTAATAAAATATCATCATCATCATCATCATCAGCCTATTAATGTCCCCACTGCTGGGGCACAGGCCTTCCCTATGAATGGAATAGGGAGATTGGGCCATGACCCACCACGCGGGCCCAGTGCGGATTGGCGGGTGCTAACGACTGCAGATGCATCCGGGACCAACGGCTTAACGTGCCTTCCGAAGCACGGAGGAACTCGAGATAGAAGATTTTTGGTCACCCATCCAATGACCAACCACTGCGAAAGTTGCTTAACTTCAACGATCGCAGCCGAACGCGCTAACCACCCGCGCCATCGAGCTCCTCAATATAAATAAAATAAATAAAAAATAAAATAAATATAAATAAGGCCGATAGGACGCTGACTCAGCTATGCTCTGTGGTAACCGCTTCCGCGATACCACAGCAGTGCTGATTTTCAGCCAGCGCCTTATAGCAAAGATGGTTTGGTTTAGGAATTTAATATATATATATATATTAAATTATTTATTATATTTGATTATTATTGACATATTATATTTCCCTACTACAATACGTAAGTTAATCTGTCTGTCACATCAAAACCACGGAACCCTGAGGAAGGACACATGCTACTTTTTTACGAAAAACGACGAAAACGCGGACGAAGTCGCGGGCAAAAGCTAGTTAGTAAATAAGTTGTATTAAATAAAAACTTTTTTTTGCTCACTCTACCTATTTGGTTTGAAGTCCAGCTATGACATCACAATATGGCGCCCAGTCGGTCCTATTCTTAGTTGAATCGCATTATCCCTATTTTAATATTGACAAATGTAGGTTGGAGTGTCATTTATATTAAAAATGAAAATAAGGACGTACGTAGGAGCAAGACGAAGGTTCCAAATGTAACGTGTATGCAATTTCTAGCTAGGTATATTTAAGAAGGATCTTACCTCCACATAACAAAATAAATATACTAAGACTTTTTATTAAAAAACTAGTGGCCCGCCCTCGCTTCGCTTCGGTGTAGAGCTGTAGTGTAGGAAGACTAAAGTTTTTGTTCTTTGGCTTGTATTACACACAGTGAATTTATTTATATAACCTAAAAAACTTCCATGAAAATATATATTATTATATGTGTGTGTATGTGAGTGTGTGTGTGTGTGTGTGTTAATATTAGAATTATTTAAATATTTAGAAAAAAAACACCCGGCACAGGTTTCAGACGGGAAAACAAAATTTATTCATGTCGGTGAGAAAGTAGTGGTCGCTTATATTGTTCTAAACTTTCATGGTCACTAACATTATAGATATTAACGGGATTACAGTTACTCCGTGATCATGGCGCTTGCAACAGTGCCGAAATATCGGAGACTCATAAAAAACGAGGTACATGGTAACAATCCCGTTCATATCTATAATAGTGGTCGCTTATTGACATAATGGTGTCGCGGACTTTTTTATGGAACTCTTTATGGTAACAATTTCGCCGCACATGATTTTTGTGTAACTTTTACCGTTTGCGCTGCACACGCGACGACGGATACTCATAAATTAATTGGAATAGTAATTCATGAGATTAGCGAGTTCAACCAACTAACTCTTTAGGTTTATACTATTAGCATAGATTACTAAATTGTATTATAAATTAACTAGCTGTCCCAGCGAACTTCGTACCGCCATATAAAAGTAGGGGTTGGTGGTAGAAGGGTGAAGATTGAGGGTTGCATGTTTTTTTGTATGATGTATCATAAAAATATAAAATCAAAAAATTTGGTCCAAAAAAAAATTTAATGGTGGACCCCCCTTAACATTTAGGGGGATGAAAAATAGATGTTGTCCGATTCTCAGACCTACTGAATATGCATATAAAATTTCACGAAAATCGGTCAAACCGTTTCAGAGTACTTCAATTACGCACACCGTGATACGAGAATTTAATATATATTAAATTTCACAATCACCATCAATACAGTAATATGCAATATCTATTAAAGCTTCTTTTAAGTAAATGAGAATCTAATCCCAATTTCTGTAATAAAGGAGAGCCGATTCCATTGCTCGCTAGCGCCGATATTTCTGTGGAGGGTATTAAAAAAAATGAAACAAAGAAGCGGAACGGAGTATATACCTGTCTCTCTCTACCGCGTCACTTCATGTCGTCTAACTGGTAAAGCCCGCGACAAAGGAACGCATATTTCTTTCCATTCATCCAGAGCGGGGATGTTATATAATACCGAGCTTGTTGAGGGGCGCCAGAGTCCTACCATTGGTACTCGAAGCGAGCTGACGATCGTTTCGTGTTTATGCAGGCAAACGCAGTCCATCTGGGCCCTATTTCATCAAATAGACGATCTCCGTGGCCGAGTGGTTTGTACGCCGGGTTTCATGGTGTCGCCAACTCGAGAGGTCCGGGGTTCGAATCCCGGTGGGGGCGGATGTTTGTGTGATGAATACGAGCATTTCTACTCTAGTCATGGATGTTTAATATGTATTTCTATACATATAAATAAACTTATATATTGTGTACAGTATATGTATTCTATCCGTTACCCCTAGCATCCCATAATACAAGCCTTACAGTGCTTACTTTGGAGCTAGGCTAATTGGTGTGAGTGTTGGCAATATTTATTTATTATTGACATATGTCACCGATATAATTATGTAGAATCAAAATTTATGCTCTACAAGCACGATGGGAGACACAGAGTATATAGAAGACTTGGATAAAGATTCAAGCAAGCATGCATCGAAGAAAAAGTAGCCTACGGTGGTAGGTCTGTACTTGTGCGGACCGGAATTCTTTAAGTTTCTGCAAGTCGCACAGAACTGGTGTTCATAGACAACGGCTCTTACTAGCGAAAGATAATGTGGAAGATATCTTGAATAAACACGTTGGTCCATTTGTGGTCAATTTGGGTGAGAACGCTATTTTTATGCATGACAATGCCCGACCTCATACAGGTTGGATTGTGAATGACTACCTTCAAGAGATGAACATTACACGTACGGAGTGGCGAGTACGCAGCACGGATATCAACCCAATCGAGCATGCTTGAGACGAGCGAGGGAGTTGTTGAATTGTGCTCATGCGAAGGTAATAATAGTGTTATCGTAATTTGTATGAGACTTGAGTAGAACAATAAAGCTAGCCAGGCGAGTACTAAGGCCTGTGACAGTTCGCTGTTTGGCAAAAGTTATTAGTATTTTACGGACAAAAATACAAATGTTGTTAATATAAAATATTTTTAATTTGCATTATTTTTGTTTCTTTGTAAATTAACAATATGCATTTTAATACTCATTGAATTTAATTTGCAACTAAACATGAGTAACTTAACCAATAAAATAACAAGTAGCACACCGCCTACTCGAATGTAACTCACTCAACTATTGAATTCGACGACTGGTAGTAAAGTTAAAATACAAATGTTGTTAATATAAAATATTTTTAATTTGCATAATTTTTGTTTCTTTGTAAATTAACAACATGCATTTTAATAATCATTAAATTTAATTTGCAACTAAACATGAGTAACTTAACCAATAAAATAACAAGATGGCACACCGCCTACTCGAATATAACTCACTCAGCTATTGTATTCGACTACTCGTAGTAAAGTTAAGAAACGTCTGATTGATAAAAATTACTCCCCAAACATTGCGTCAAAGGCTTTAGTGAGGGCGACAAATATACCCCCCCTTCACCACCCCTTCCCCACCCCCTCAGATCCCTTAGGAGCACTACGTCTGGATCTATAGGACAGGTGCTGTTGTTTATGGCCCAAGTCTTGGACGTGTACGCATGAGAAACGCAATCACTTTCCGATAAAAAAAAAAGAAAAAATTTACAAACTTTTTTGTAAGTTTCAGACGTCAAAGTTCTGAAATTATTTGTTATACGAGTATGACTGCCTCCGTGGCGGAGTAGTTTGTACGCCGGGTTTCATGGTGTCGCCGACTCGAGAGGTCCCGGGTTCGAATTCCGGGTGGGGGCAGATGTTTGTGTGATGAATACGAGCATTTGTACTGTAGTCATGGATGTTTAATATGTATTAATATATGAATATACTTATGTATCATCATCATCATCAGCCTATTAATGTCCCCACTGCTGGGGCACAGGCCTTCTCTATGGATGGTATAGGGAGATTGGGCCATGACCCACCACGCGGGCCCAGTGCGGATTGGTGGTGCTAAATAATCGGTGGGTGCTAACGACTGCAAATGCAGCCGGGACCAACGGCTTAACGTGCCTTCCGAAGCACGAAGGAGTTCGAGATAGTAAATTTTTGGTCACCCATCCAATGACCGACCATTGCCAAAGTTACTTAACTTCAACGATCGCAGCCGAACGCGCTAGCCACCTGCGCCATCGAGCTCCTCGAGCTACTTATGTATGAATGTACAATATATGTATTCTACCCGTTACCCTAGTATCCCTTAACGCGAGCCTTACAGTGCATACTTTGGGGCTAGGCTAATTGATGTAAGTGTTGGAAATATTTATTTATAGGGGAAATATTTAAAGAATCTTTAAAAGGAGGCGGTTGACCTTCCCATAAGAAGTTATCACATCAAAACATCATCCCCCATAATTACAAATGCTAACCTAAAGGTTAGGTTACGTAGTCAATTGTATTTATAAGAGGATCAATTACTATTTATCTGATGATAATTTAAACATGCGCCGTTTAAAAATACTATTATTGGCAGTATGAAGATTAAAATGAACTTACCAGATCACGGTAACTGTCGCCTGCGTAACCTGGAAAAGGGTAAAAAAATGTATGCCTATTTTTTAAAAACCCAGAAAGAGGGGGAAAAAAAGTAATTTTGACGTGAAAACAACGTTCTTTTAATTCGATGGAGCCGGCTGCACGCACGAAAAAACATGACTCATGCGGCGTTACCTTGCTCTGAGGCGTTCCATTTAAGGCTTGAAGTGCAAGCGAGAGCATGCAACGAGCGACAAAGAGGCACAATCGGCCTCCGCGTTCGGCAGCGTTCGACATCTGTCTCTCTCCTACTTAAGTGAGCGATGCGTCCGCGTGGACAGCTGCTATACAATAATACTTTTACATGTTTTCATTAACTATGAAGTGCAGTTAAAAGTGAATGTGGTGTCAATTTTTTATAGCAACGATAATTGCGGCGATTAAGGTAATGATATCACACATTTTTTAAAAGTTGTAAAACAATTGCTCAAAGCACATTCATACTTGTATAAAAACAAAAAAAAAGGTTGTCACGTTCAACTATCGTGAGTAAACCGACTTTACAGACAACCGATTTTTTATTTGTTTTTTTTTTACTGATAATCACAACAGAATGATGAATATCCACTTTTTATGAACACCATACACATTAGCGTGCGATCATTTTATAAACATTGATAATAACTCTATTTCTATGTACTTTTTAAGAAGAAATGCTCACCATTGCCAGCAAGGCCTGCTAATCCGCTGAAATGTCTGTCCCATGCTTGCCTGAAAAATATAAAAGAGATTTAGGTATTCATAATTTAATACTATGATATTTAATTGACTAAATCTCTCTGCAATCAACAGCATCCACTAAGCCAAACTGGACCTGCGTCACGGATCATGGCCCCAACTCAGTATTCCATCAAAAATTCAATCGTCGGAGCTCGATGGCGTAAGTGGTTGGCGCGTCGGCTGCGATCGTTAAAGTTAATCCACTTTCGCAGTGGTCGGTCATTGGATGGGTGACCAAAAATTTACTATCTCGAGCTCCACCGTGCTTCGAAAGGCTCGTTAAAAATCTTCTATCACGAGTTCCTCCGTGCTTTGGAAGGCACGTTAAGCCGTTGGTCCCGGCTACATCTGCAGTCGTCAGCATCCACCAATCCGCACTGCGCCCGCGTGGTGGGTTATGGCCCAATCTGCCTATTCCATCCATAGGGAAGGCCTGTGCGCCAGCAGTGGGGACATTAATAGGCTGATGATGATGATAATTTCTATTTAACCATTTTAAACCACAAAATTTATTTTATTTTGTTAAAATTTAATCGTCGGATTTGAATGATGAAACAAAAACCTTGCCAGTATTCCGCCGGCGATTTCCGCAGTGAAAAGTGAGTCTCTCCTTAGTGTCGCCGCACACGGGCCACACGTCACAGCCACAAACGCCGCCACGAGAAGCTAGAAGCGGCTACTAAAGTGGCTGAAGCACGCGACAGCGGCCAACTATGGTAAGGGAGAGAGGGGTGGAGAATCGCGCGAGAGACGTATGGCGTCGTTTTGTATCGGCGCATTAAGTAGCTGCACCGGCCACAAGAAGCGAGCAACGACGATTTGTAGCGTGTGGCGACCACCGGCGTACCGTGTGTGGCGAGTCCATATTAAATGTATGAAAACTACAAGAAATATGCCGGTAGCGGCGTTTTGTGGTTGTGGTCGGTGGCCCATGTGCGGCGACACTTACAGAATAGCACTGCTGGTTGCGTGTTTTTTTAACATTAATATATCTTACTGTTGTCACTATTCCTAGACGAACAAATAAATTTGGTGACTCATTCCTTTGTCGTACTATTCGCAAGTGGAATTCTTTGCCCGCGTACGTGTTCTTTCCTTCCTATAATCTGGGTTCCTTTAAGAGAGGTGTGAAGAACCATTTCCGCGGGCTAGCAAGGTGAAGATGGTTGGTGTGGCAGTTTATAACTGCTGTACCAGCTATCTTCGCGTCTGGACTTTATCACCACTTAACATCAGGTGGGGTAGAGTCATTTGCCTACCTACGCATACTAATATTATTAAAGCGAAAGTTGTTAGTGTGTATGCTTGTTACTTCTTCACGTCTAAACGGCTGATGCGATTTTAATAAAATTTTGTATGAAGTTAGCTGACACCCTGGATTAACACATAGGCTACGTTTTACTGCGGGAAAATATGATTTTTCATAAATATTGAGATTTAAAAACAAATGTCAAACATAATTCTAATTTTTTTAAGTCATATCTTTGAGTAAAACGTATTATGCTTAAATAAGTTCTTAATGAGGAGCTCGATGGCGCAGGTGGTTAGCGCGTTTGGTTGCGATCGTTGAAGTTAAGCAACTTTCGCAGTGGTCAGTCATTGGATGGGTGACCAAAAATCTTCTATCACGAGTTCCTCCGGAAGGCACGTTAAGCCGTTGGTCCCGGCTGCATCTGCAGTCGTTAGCACCCGCCAATCCGCACTGGGCCCGCGTGGTGGGTCATGGCCCAATCTCCCTATTCCATCCATAGAGAAGGCCTGTGCCACAGCAGTGGGGACATTAATAGGCTGATGATGAAGTTCTTAGTGGTTATTTCTTCATGATTCACTCTGTAAATCTACACATAAAATATATTATCACTACCCTTAGCACGAACCAATATCGAATTTGAATAGTAAATCCCTAATAAAGCGCGGGTAACACCGCGGGGCACAGTTAGTAAAAAATAAAAGTACAAATTAGGGAACTTACCGATCGTCTAAGCCAATCCCAAGACGACTGTCGTCATACCTGCCTCCGGTTAATATAGCAGCTTTTTTCTGCACACCACTACCAGTTGGTCCATTGGAAGGCTTTTTAGAGAGAACCTGAAAAAACGGACATGTGCTTTTCACAGGCGATAGAAGTGAAACCAACAAAAATCTGAACACGTAAAAGTCCTTCATGGCTAGGTGCGTCTTAAAGACATCACAAATTGTGAACACGTAAGGCCTAAAACACATAACCGCGTTGCGGCACCGCGCCATTAAAATTGGCAGTGGCGTGACGCAATTTCCAGCGTTATGACGTCATACTTGTTGACAATGATTCAGTTTGTTTCTATCACCTCTTAGGTTTTTTTCGATTGGTGTCCACCCGAAGACCGTTACCGTCCAGCCATCTGTCTCTTATAGTAAATGATAAAATTACGGACACCTATCTTGTTTCAAATACTCTACTTCCGTTTCATCGAATCTCAAGTCTAAACGATACTAAAGAAGTTTTCACTTCAAAAAAACAATCAAAACATGGTAGGGTTTTATGAGGCTCTGCCTTTTTTTTTATTGTTGGGAAAATGCGTTGCGCATACCCCGCCCCGGGTGAGTGGCGGGGTTATGTGGGACTCTTCCTCCCCCCAAATGGGGGGCCCTACCCACTAAAAACCCAACAGTGCTCCCTCGTCTGCCGAAACGTGTTTTGTGGGATCCGGATGACGCTCCACGTTACCCCGGCAGTAATTTCTCCTCCTCCTGGTGGTCAGGGGGATGCCCGGGAGCACCTAGGCATCCCCCCTTGACGGGTGAGACTGTGCAATGCGAGCGACGGACCACCCTGTCCGCCGCCCGCAGTCCCTCTAGGGTGGAAAGAGGCGGTCGTAGAGCACAAGCTCCGTCGTGCTCACCAGCGACCCGCGGCGGCGCATCAGGCCATTGTCTGGCCCGACGCCGCCTCCTTCGAGCGGGATCGGCCATCTCCCGATCCCGCTCGGCGGCCTCCTTCTGAAGCATCACCGCTTCACAGAAGGAGGCCGCAGCCCTCCAACCTCCCTCATCCGCCAGCATTGCCGCAATCAATGCTGGTGGAGACAGATCTTACCCGATTTTTCCGATCAAGACTCGACGTTCGGAGTCCCAAGCGGAACAATACACCAGCGTATGCTGGGCCGAGTCGAGTTCGGATGCGCAATGGTGAAGGTCAGGTACCTACCTATACTTAGCAGTAGCGTCGTGTCAGGCCTTTAGCCTTAAAGTTCACTATGAAATTCTGTGAAACTATGAAAACAACGATGCTTATACTATTCACTTCAAAGCGTATCTTGACCAATCGCCACTATCTCTCCAATCAAACACCAATACGCACAAATGCACAATTTTTGTAACACTTGCGATGGGTGCTCTGTCTATCTTTACATCCAGTGTTTATGATGCTAACGCATTTAAAACACGTGCCCCCCACAACAACGGCTAAATAGAGCCGAGGTCCGAGTCTCAGAGACGCCCTCTAGTTGAGCCGACCCCCTCAGGTTCGAGAGGTCTAGACGCTCCAGACGGAGAGGAGACTACCTCCGTGGGGAGATGCCATCCGCCTGGAATACCTCTAGAGGCACTCGCCATTTCTCGGCTTGTGGTTCCGTTAGGATCTCGCCGTCCCCAAACCCGGTGACGCTGTAAAGGTCATCTGCGACCAACAGCATACACACTAAAAACGAAAAAAAACACGCGCTAAGCACTGGCCCAAACGACGACTCACAGTGTGCTTGTTTTCTTTCCAAAGTTATTTAGAATAGGTAACTATTTTCTGGCTAAGTTTCGCGGCAACTTACCTTATCACTAGTACTGATCGTTGGCACAGTCTTGAAGACCATACAAAAAGCCACCAAAACAGTCAGAAGGAACAGCACGCCCAAGCAGGCGACGCACGTGTACTCCGAGCTCACAATCTTCTTCAACCTAGAAGGTAAGAAAACCATGTAACAGGAGCTGGCGAACAAAACGGTATCTTATATATAAAATTCTCGTGTCACAATGTTAGTTACCATACTCCTCCGAAACGGCCTGACCGATTTTTATGAAATTTTTTATGCATATTCCGTGGGTCTGAGAATCGGCTACTATCTATTTTTCATATCCTTAAGTGTAATGGTTGTCCACCTGTAACGTAGTGTTCTGTAACCTACAATGCGCCTTCGCGTCAAAATTCAAACTATTGGGTATTGTAACGTAGTATTCTCATATGGGTTAGGAGGAATGTTGTCCCAGGAAATTGATAGCACACTACGTTACACACCCCTAAATTTTTATTTATTTTTTTATAATGTGGTATTAAAGAATACATATAACCCTAAATTTTCTCTTCCACCACCTGCCCCTATTTTTATGGCGGTACGAAGTTCGCTGGGTCAGCTAGTAATTACATAAAAATAATTTTTACAGGAGCTGTATAAAACTGAATGCCATACCTCCAGTGAGCTTTTGGCATGGTTTATAATTTGTAAATTTGTAATTTTAACACTGTATAAGGCGGTTTTGATTTCAAAATCATTTGAAACTAAATGGCCCGCCCTCGCTTCGCTTCAGTGTAGAGCTGAAGTGTAGACTATAGTTTCTGTTCTCAGGCTTGTGTTATACACAATGACATTCTTCTTATACCTAATTTCAATAGGCACGCGCCGCCTCAGTCGCCGCCAAAATCGGTGGGTTTATTTTCTCAATCTTAGTAAATAAATCTGATTCTTTTTCTCAGTTAATCTTAGTAAATAAGTTTTATTAAATAAAAACATTTTTTTTGCTAACTCTACCTATTTGGTTTGAATTGACAGCTATGACATCAAAATATGGCGCCCAGTCGGTCCTATTCTTAGTTGAATCGCATTATACCCTACGTTTTGTCTCTGTTCATTGAATAGCAATTGTCATTTGAGTGATATAAACAATACGCGGCGTAACAAGGGGAAGCATTGTTGAGATGCCAACTAAAAGGAACAAACGTAACCCTTGCCTGGATCTCTGGGCATAATGGTATTCCTGGCAACGAAACTGCGGATACTTGTGCTAAACACGCCATTTCTTCTGGCCTCCCGAAATACTCCAGAGTCTTCTACCAGGACTTATATTCCGTAACGCGCGAGCTTCTATTTAAATCATGGGAAACTCACTGGCTGCAGACTAAGAATAGTGTTGGTAAATACTACTTCGATATACAGCAAAATATTCCATCCAAACCATGGTTTTTTAAGGTGAAAAATTTTGATAAAAAAGTGGTCTCTACAATTTGTAGATTAAGGATAGGTCATGCCACTACCCCTGTTCACTTGGCTAAGTTAAAAATACGTTACAGCCCCACATGTGATTGTGGAACCGAGGATGGTACAGTGGATCTTCTTTTCTTTAACTGCCCCAAATTAAACATCTCTCTCTCTATGACATTTTACCTCCCACTATTCCACGTCCTATAAGCATGAAAGTCATACTATGTTTCTTTGATATGTTGTTGTTGTGATTACTCAACTCTCAAGCTCTTGGCCAAATTTATTTCCCATAACAAACTAAGATTATAACAAAGCTCCTTGCTTTACTTGTTTTATGTTTGTGTTGTCCTAATTGTGACGTTTTTCTTTACAGGTAAAAGTGCTTATTTTAACTGTCATTCCCTAACGTTTAATAGCTAAAACCCTATAAAAAAACCCTAAAAAATAGTAACAAGCAAAACAAAAAAGATTACTAAAGACCTGACATAAATCGGGGATAACTTATAAAAAAAAAAAAAAACGTGTAATGGCTAATCACTTGACATTGACGGAGCTGTGCTAAGTCACAACGCAAACCATCAAGAAGAAGAATTTAGCCTCAGCTTATTCCCCGTTTATTAACAAGGGGATATGAGTCTCACTTCTCTTTGCAGCCGGCTGTAGCCATGAGGATTACACACCTACTCCTCCGCCTGGGAGGAAGTAAAGAAAAGAAACTGCACTTGCAGTGTGTTGTAAATCTTCAGCATAACAGAAAATATAACTAGGAAAAATTCTAGTTATATTTTCTTTAGATTTAAACATCAAGCAGTTACATGCTTTAAAAATAATAAAAATTATAACTTCAGCGTATCACTTACGCGCAAGACACACAGGAAGATGTATCCTCTTGTTTTTTCTTGTCAGTTTCATTCTAGAAATAGACAGCAAAATCAGTTTTAAATTCTGAATAATTCCACTATCTTAATCTAGTATATAAAATTCTCGTGTCACGGTGTTCGCAATTGAACTCCGAAACGGTTCAACCGATTTTTGTGAAATTTTATATGCATTCAGTAGGTCTGAGAATCGGATAACATCTATTTTTCATCCCCCTAAATGTTAAGAGTGGTCCACCATTCATTATTTTTGGAAAACATTTGTTGTTTTTATTTTTTTATGTTTCATCATACAAAAATACAAACAACCCTAAATTTTCATCAAATTAATTACTACGGCATCAGAAGTATGTTCTTGTTGTAACATTATGTATTAGAATTTTGATTTTCTATCTCATTAATTATCAAAAAAATCATCTAACCTCCTTGAGTTTTCCCAAAAAATAATGCAGGTTTACCTCGTATTTTGATATTGAAATAAATAGAATTACCATCAAAAACTTTCATAAAACGAATCTACCATCATTAAACTACTAACTAAACTATGTATATATTTTTATAATTTAGTAAGTAGTTCATTAATAATTATTTTATAAGACTCGAAACATCACCCGTAAAATGCAATATATACTAGTGCAAATCTACCTACGCGCCGATCATTACGGCAGCGGCGCAATTTTGTAAAAGGGCTCTTAAATTTTTTTTTTTTCCTTAGGCCCACTTGTACAAAAGCTCATACCTAATTCAAATATCTATCTTTGTCAATTGTTATGACAAAGATGGAATAATGGCTTAAACATGATTAACTAAGCCTTAATTCGAATTAATAACTTTGATGCTAGTAGGCTTGAGTAGCTGAATTGGTTGAATATCTGAACTTGTACTGATTGTTTCAACATTTATTTAAATCAGACTTGGAATTGATAAGTCCCTGATAATGGATGTTCTAATTTTGGTGTATTAAAACAATTTCGGTGGTTGTTAATCTACTCTAAAATGAAACTAGTTTGACTGTTTTCCGATTTCGGTAATCAGAGAACAGTCAAACTAGTTTCATTTTAGAATAGTATTTAAATTTTATTCACTCATTTGAAAAGTACCTTAAACTCGAACTATCCAAGTTTAAATTATGTATTTCTTTCTTCATGAGAACATTAATGCGTAAACACCAAAATTTATAATATTTTGTCAGATTACCGATAATTGTTAAACTTATATTTTTAGCGGAAAATCTAAGCAGGTTAGAACCGCATTAGACAATGTCACTTGGCAGAGCGTAACTGAGAGATTCTAGGCATCGCAAATGGTGATTCTTTTTAACTTGTAAATTTATGTAAGCACGCGTTATAGTATACCCACCAAAATTATCAATTATTCGCGAGCGAACTTTTCTGGCATGATCTTAATGCAAAATAAAGCCCTAGAAACAAAATAAAATTGTGAAAAGTTGAAATAACTAGTGCATTTTATGATTTTAAAAACATAACTGCAAAAAACTTGATAATTAACAAGAAATTTTCTTTAAGAAAACAATTTCTGGACGCTCCACCAGACTTAGTGTCGCCGCACACGGGCCACACGCCACAGCCACAAACGCCGCCACGAGAAGCTAGAAGCGGCTACTAAAGTGGCTGAAGCGCGTGACAGCGGCCGACTAAGATAAGGGAGAGAGGGGTGGGGAATCGCATGAGTGACGTGTGGCGGCGTTTTGTATCGGTGCATTAAGTAGCCGGTGCGGGCCACAAGAAGCGAGCAAAGACGATTTGTAGCGTGTGGCGGCCACTGGCGTATCGTGTATGGCGAGTCCATATAAAATGTATGAAAACTACAAGAAATATGCCGGTGGCAGCGTTTTGTGGTTGTGGTCGGAGGCCCGTGTTCGGCGACACTTAGAAAATGGAAGGAAAGATATTTTTATCCTCATGTATAATGTGGATTATGCGGTAAATATATATTGCCTCATGAAGATATCAAAGCCATTTACAAAAAAAAAAACTTATGTATTTGCAATTCCACATACTGTTTTTCAGTCTCGCCGCGTATAACTACTGTTTGGAATAATACCTAGTACTTATTTACTCAGATATTGATGCAGTGTCAATATTCAACTTACCCCCCAAAACAAATAGCTCTCCTTCTTCTCGTCTTGAAATGGCTGCAAATAAAGAAGTACGAGTCAGCTAAATAACGAAATAAGACTATACTTAAGACTTATGGCATAGACATAAGACTTATGACAACTTAAGACTATACTTCTGGACACATAATATATCGACCCACCTAGGATTGTAAGTTTTGAAGGTCCCTAGCTATGTCAAAAATAAATGTTATACTGAGCAATAAGATTTTACGCAGTTTTGAATGATTAAATAACCATCTTTTTCGTGTGTTTTTAAAAATATTTATTATTTGCATCATCTGCCTATTAATGTCCCCACTGCTGGGGCACAGGCCTGGGAGATTGGGTCATGACCCACCACGCGAGCCCAGTGTGGATTGGTGGGTGCTAACAACTGCAGATGCAGCCGGGACTAACGGCTGAACGTGCCTTCCGAAGCACGGAGGAACTCGAGATAGAAGATTTTTGATCACCCATCCAATGACCGATCACTGCGAAAGTTGCTTAACTTCAATGATCGCAACCGAACTCGCTAATCACCCACACCATCGAGCTCCTCTTTATAATTGCTCAGCCAAAAATATATAGACACATATTTTTGGCTGAGCAATTATAATGAGGCATATATACTACAGACCGTTGAAACTTATAACATTGTGAGTCGGTTTCTGTAATGAAATGAAATAAAATTATACTTTACTCAAACTTATTAAAAGCCATTTTGAATCGTCCAATATTTTTTCCTATCACCCATTCAGGACATCTTTTAGCTGATGAGAACAATGGGCGCAAGACCCCATCAGCATTTAACAGAAGCAGCAACATTTACATAAAAATCATTTCGCTACCAATACAACGTCCACTCACATTTTGATTGCTACGTAAAGTCGCCTATACATGTTGGCCAAGCGAAAGCTGATAAGCACCAACGTGTAGACAGCACATTGGTCTTGCCTTGTCACCGCTCGGTGTCACTTTCCTGACTAGCCGAGTGTATTTGGCGTTGCTTGTTGGCACTCGCTTTCGCTCGCCAACTTTTTATTTACTTAATTCAGGTAACAAACAGTCTTATGCAAACAATTCTACAATTTATGTTTACAAATAGACCTAAAGTACCATTAATTGATATATAATTATTATATTTAAGCGGCATAAAAGTGACGGATAACTATAAACATATGATATACATCGCTGCCGCACATGTTAACTATTTAAACAATAATTCAATCACTTTCCTTTTGAAGCTGTTCAGTGAATCACTTTACAGTGATTCCCGGAAAATATCTGCTTCATTCAAGTTCTTATTGTAAAAATTACATGTCCGTCTTAAAAAGGTTTCTCTGGCATAGTTGGTATGGCAACTCGAATAATAAAAGGTATCTTTTGAACGTGAGGAGAAACGAGGAACTTTGAGTACAATACTCTGCACAAGTTGAGCTGAGTCTATGTCTATCAACTTTTGTCACACGTCTTCCATAATAACTGATGATAGCGCACCACAGTATGGGCTGCTCCACAGAACTCGTCTATATTCGCCACTAGTATTGGTTTACTTCACTTTGAAGGAGCTCGACGGCGCAGGTGGTTAGCGCGTTGGGCTGCGATCGTTGAAGTTAAGCAACTTTTGCAGTGGACAGTCATATGATGGTTCAAAATCTACTATCTCGAGTTCCTCCGTGCTTCGGAAGGTACGTTAAGCTTGGTTGATTGGTCCCGGCTGCATCTGTAGTCGTTAGCACCCGCCAATTCACACTGGGCTCGCGTGGTGGGTCATGGCCTAATCTTCCCATTCCATCCATTGGGAAGGCCTGTGCCCCAGCAGTGTTAATAGGCTGATGATTGGTTTTCTTCAAACTTCTATACGGTACCTCTCGCCTTGTATTAGTTTGCCTACGCTCACGTTGGGTTAAGCACGGCCAACAAATATTAGGGGCTTAATATAAATGTGAAATATACATACATATATGGATAGTAGAAAAGCAAATTCGCTTATACGCCACTTTGGTCGAAAATGAGTTATATGTATATTATTTGAATCAGTTTTTTTTCTGCATCGATCTGTTTATGTTTCATGAGGATTTCAGTACTTGTTTGACGTTTAAGCAACAATTGTTTTTGAAGTTTTTTATTGTTCACAACGCTGCAGCGACATAAATTTTGGTGTTTTTTTGAACCAATGACGTTAACGTCCTATGATTTGATGTTTGCTTGACAAAAAATCCAAGCCAAGAGGTTTTCGCTTAAGCGACATAATTCGTAAAGTCACTTCGTAAGTTATTAATAGGAGGATATTTAAAAACCATTGTTTTATGAATTATGTTTTTACTTTTTATGGCGCTAATTTTCATTCCCAATGAATCTCATTCCTGTAAAGTTAATAAAATGTCGTTTAAGCGTTTTTTCTTTTCCGCTTTCGATATATTATATACTTCACATAACTAGTCAAATAAACAATTTTCCCAGCGTTTGAATGAATATTCCTAGCGTTTGATTGAATTTTCCCAGTTTTTGAATGAATATTCCTAGTATTTGTATGAATTTTCTTAGCGTTTCTGGAAAACTAAGGGATACTTACTATGCTCTGCGTTCTGTACTGTGCGTATTCTTTATTCTTGTGATTGTTTACATTTTCTTTGTATTGAACATTTCGTTTGTGATGCTCTGAGCTACTTGAGTCCTGAGGTCTCTGGAAAGAAACAAAACAGTAAATAAATTACATGTGTTCAATGGGGTAATGGAGTCAGTGGGGGCAGAGTGCTTGGGGGATCAGAGGGAGTCAGTGGTGGTCAGGGGGGGGGGGCAGGAGGGAGGTCAGGGGGGCTCAGGGAAACAGAGCGGTCAGGGAGGGGTCGGGGAAGTCGGGAGTATCAGCCCTTCCCCCCTCCCGGCGTCATGTCACGTTGAACTAATTCGTGTCAACGTGGCATGACGTCACACTTTTTCGTGCGTGCAGCCGGTGTTCATAGATATAAAAGACGTTATTACGTCAAAAAAATTGTTAATTCATCAAATTATTGTTACTAAACTTTCGAATAGCGTTGTAGTAAATAGCGGGATTTACGAAATAACTGTGACTCAGTGACATGTCAGTCATCATGACACTTGTAACAATTCTGAATAATCGGGAACACGCAAAAAATAAGGTAGCAACCTCGCTATCTACACTGACAATATGAATGCAAAAGTGTATCTCTCTGTCTATCTGTTACTTTTTCACGCTTAAACCGCTGAATAAATTTAGATAAAAAATGAAAATTTGAGAAATTCGGTATGGAGATAACTTTGACTCCAGGCGAAGGACATAGGTTAGTTTTTATCACAGAAATCATCCTTAAAGGGGGTGAAAGACGGAGTGGATGTTAGTATGAGAACGCAGATGAAGTCAGGGGCACCTCCTAGTTTACTATAATCCTTCCAAACTCCTTCACCTACGTGGTCCTACCACACGCGCTGGCCGCTACCGACTTACTATGGCCACAATTCCAACGCGAAAAAGAGATCCAGTGCCTCTTTCCTTTGCACTCGCACTATCCGCAAATGGAATGCTTTGCCTGCTCACATGTTCCCTCCCTCCTACAACCCGGGGTCCTAGAGAGGTGTGAAGAAGAAACTTGCAAAACCAAGTCAATTGTTTTATAATTATTTTAATTTATTGTTTTATGGGACTTTTGGAGCTAATTGTCCTTCATACCAGCCCCATCGTAACCTGAACGTACGGCGTAATTGATGAGGCTCGAAGAGAGGCTTGTTTACCAAATTAGGATCGTGCAGCAAGTTATGGTAAAAGCTAAGTAAGTCGCCAGAACATTAGGGTTATTGACTTAGTTCGAATGGAAAGCATGGTGATGTTGCAGTGGGCTGGTCATATATGCCGCAGAACGGATGACCGCTGGCGCAGACGGATCCTGGAGTGGAGACCGCGAATCAATCAATCGGCAAATGTACTTTGGGGTGTTTCTCGACTAGATGAAGCGATGACATCCGAAAAGTAGTAGGCAATGATTGAATGTGGAGACCTGAAGACCAAGCTCAATGGCTTGCCATGGGAGAAGACTATGTCCAGCAGTTAACTAATGCGGATTGATGATTACCAAGCACTCCAGCCTCCTCCGTTGTGGAAGTCAAGGTTAGCTTGGATACCTTGCAATATGCCAGTCTTAAATCTATTGATTTCAAGAATGTCTTAAGAGAACTTGAGTATACAAATTAAGGTTTTAAAGTAAAATACCTGCGTTCTCTGTTCCGTCTTTGTTCTAGACCCGGAGTACTGTCTTTTCTTTCTGTCTTGTTTTTCTTTCAGCAGATTCACTTTCTCAGGATCGCTGTCATATATTAAAATAAAAAATTGCTTTACATAAAAACATAATTTACAGGTCTCCAAGATTGCTCGATTTCCATATTTCTAGATGATGGTAGGGGGTGGTGCCCTATCATCATCAAGAATTCAAATTTCCCCAAACTTTTGCGAAAACAAAAGAAACAAACTTTTACCCCATAGATTATATTTAGGAGCCTGTGTATTTCTGGTTGTGTAAGGTCCGTGGGGTAAGAAATAGGATCAATTAAAGAAGGTTACCACATCGATATAACCGATATTTAAATATCAGGATATGAGACGGGATTTGGAGGGAACTGGTACGTGGATTTTTTTATAGTAAAATTTTCTTTAGGTTCAAACATCCAGAAGTTAAATGCTAAATATGTGCAAACTCACACAATGCTGAACTGGGTCCTTTTCAGATCAGCTGTGGATATAAGTCGCGGCACGAAACTCTAGCGCTGACCGTTATTGCGTAGAAGTAAAAATTAAGATGTGTTGGGGGGAAACGAGGTGCGCGGGTGTGCGTGCGTTTCGCCGATTGGCTCTCCAGTCGTACCCATGCGCAGCAATCCCCTCCGCGTTTTGTTCAGCGCTAGAGTTACGTGTTGGGACCTGTACCCCTAGCACGAACCAATATCAAATTCGTATCGTTTGCGAGTCCGAAACGTCATTGTCAAATGTGTACTGATTTTTAGTTCTCGTTACGTACTTTGTGCCGCTGCTGTTCAAGTTTCCATACAAAATTTGACATTGACATTTCGGTTTGCAAACTATTTCGAATTCGATAATGGTTCGTGCTAGGGGTTCTGTACATGTTCTGTAACGTATGTTTTATGCTGTCCGGCATTTATTGTCCTTCAATATATATGTGTGTATAAGCTTATCCATTTGGGTGCGTCATGACCGTTACGAATAAATGTTTTTGATTTGATTTGATTTGATTTTGCTTATTTACCATCCATTTTACATAAAAAAATATTCAAATATGTTTCCTAGTTTATAATCTTAATCTATATATATAATACTCAAAGGTGACTGACTGACTGACATAGAGATCTATCAACGCACAGCCCAAACCACTAGACGAATCGGGCTGAAATTTGGCATGCAGGTAGATGTTACGACGTAGGCATCCGCTAAGAAAGAATTTTGATCAATTCTACCCCCAAGGGGATAAAATAGGGAATGAAAGTTTGTATGAAACTTTGTCAATTTTAAACCGATCGGGCTGAGACTTTGCATGCAGGTATAAGAAGAATCATAGATCAATGTCATTGTGTATAATACAAGCCTGAGAAAAAAAAACTGTAGTCTACACTTCAGCTCTACAACGAAGCGAAGCGAGGGCGGGCCGCTAGTAAATAATAAACTCACTTTTCTCTTTGCATGATGTCCTTGAAAACCTTCAAAACCGGCGATTGTGTCTCCTTGTCAGATTTCTTGCCATGTCTAAGATTTTAATAAATAGAAAGATTGTTAGGTATGGATTTAAATAATTCATATCATTTTATACACATCACCACATCATCAGCCTATTAATGTCCCTACTGCTTGGTACACAGCCCTTCCCTATAGTTGGAATAGGAAGATTGGGCCATGACCCACCACGCGGGCCCAGTGCGGATTGGCGGGTGCTTACGACTGCAGCTGCAAGCGGGAGCAACGGCTTAACTTGTCGTCCATAGCACGGAAAAACTCGAGATAGAAGATTATTGGTCACCCATCCAAATACCGACCACTGCGAAAGTTGCTTAATATTCCCACTACTGAGGCACAGGCCTTCTCTATGGATGGAATAGGGAGATTGGGCCATGACCCACCACGCGGGCCCAGTGCGGATTAGTGGGTGCTAACGAATGACTGATGACGATGAACTATAGTGTATGTATGTATATGTATATATATGTATGTATGTGTGTATGTATGTATTTATTGTAAGTATTTGTGTATATGCATATGAATATATATTTATGTATGTAGTCTTAGATAGTTATATAATCTGCAAGTAAGTACTTAGTGCACATCTCTACACCCGCTTACTTTTTTCTCTCACTAAACCTTGGTTGGCTGGAAGAGATCTCTCTTAGAGATAAGCCCTCCTTTGCTCACATATTTATGTTTTGTATCTTACAATTTTTTGTGTGCAATAAAGAGTATATATGACTAACCAACGGCTTAACATGCCTTCTGAAGCACGGAGAAGCTCGAGATAGTAATTTTTGATCAAAAATAAACCGTTAAAAAGCTCAAAATCATACAACAGGTTGTTTAGACTTTTTTGATGAGTAGATTGGCGATTCCAAACCCATCATCCATACCGTTATAAAAGTAATCTTACCTCGGGAATAAATTCCGGTTACAAGCATCAATATAATTGACCCATAATATTTTACTTAACAAAAATAATAAACTATTTATTTCTCTCAAGAATGGTTACAATGTCTTCTATACTTATAAATCTGTAGAGATGTCAATTCTGTACATGAAATATATTTTTAAAATAACTATCAGGGGCTGATTAGTGATCGATACTGATGCCAAAAATGCAATCAGTAAAATTGTTGTCTGTCTGTCTGTCTGTGTGTATGTTCCTTATAGAAACAAAAACTACTCAACGGATTTTAACGAAACTTGATACAATTATTCTTCATACTCCTGGGCAGGTTATAGTATTCTTTTCATCACGCTACAATCAATAGCAGCAGAGTAGTGAAGGGAAATGTTTGGAAAACGGGAGAAGTTACTCCATTTTTTAAGCTTCCGTCGCGGGTGCAGCCTTAATGGTTAAAGTTACATAGAAATCATGTATGACGGAAATATTCTACATAAAATTGTCTAAAAAATATCCCGCAACAGCATATGTCTATCTTTTATGGTTGACTCACAATAACACGTGTAATTATATAAGTAAAGTCATTCTTTATAGCACAAGCCTGAGAACAAAAACTATAGTTTACACTACAGCTCTACACCGAAGCGAAGCGAGGGCGGGCCACTAGTATATAATAAAGTACAAAGTATAATTAGCAAATAATTTAACCTTTTCCGAGACTGGTGTCTGCACTAGGTTGTGAAACCTGTCTTACAGATCACCAGGCTCCCACTGCGCCGGTCGACACATTCATACTACACTTTAGTATTCTCAACTTATATATTATTCTAAAGAAAAGTTTACTAGATAAAAATCCACGCGGACCAGGCAGCGGACGAGACTCGAACCCGCATCCTTCGCTATCCGGGCGAATGCACTGACCATTATGCTACCACGGCCCTATTAGCCGCGTCGAAATTTTCCTAGCCTTAAGCTGCAAGGCAGCGCCATCTCTTCGCATTGTAGGTAACCCACAATGTCAAATGAATACTTTTTCAAGTATTAAACATTTGAAAGAAGAAATAGCAATCATAGTTATGATTTTATTTACTATTATTTTTTTCACGAGAGAATACACGATACGATATTTATTAAACTTAAATTAATGACTCTAATTTAACGCTAATAATAACCAAGTTGTGTGCATCTACGCGGGTGTTTGAGTGAAAAATAAGTAACAGCTACAATATTCTACCTTATCTTTATATATATAATTCTTCTGTGAGTGTGTATGTCACTGAACTTCTCTTAAACGACTGGACCGATTTTGATGAAATTTTTTGTGTGTGTTCAAGGGGATCTGAGAATGGTTTAGATTCACAATTTTGTCCGCTGGACAACCCCTATTTTTTTAGGGCGGTACGAAGTTCGCTGGGTCAGCTAGTTATATATAAAACTCAAAGGTGACTGACTGACATAGTGATCTATCAACGCACAGCCCAAACCACTGGACGGATCGGGCTGAAGTTTGCATGCAGGTAGATGTTATGACGTAGGTATCCGCTAAGAAAGGATTTTGATCAATTCTACCCCCAAGGAGATAAAATAGGGAATGAAAGTTTGTATGAAACTTTGTCAATTTTAAACCGTTCGGGCTGAGACTTTGCATGCAGGTATAAAAAGAATCATATATGAATGTCATTGTGTATAATACAAGCCTGAGAACAAAAACTGTAGTCTACACTTCAGCTCTACACCGAAGCGAAGCGAGGGCGGCCGCTAGTTACAACAAAAAATCTTACAAAAGTTATTGAATGTGCTACGAATATACGAAGTACTCAGATTACAGAACGTAAATACATCGAAAATATTTTAATTCTCATTGTTACTTACATACTCGTAATTGTAACAAATAACAGCTACTTTATTACAACAAACAAATTCACTTAGAAAACTTATTTATGTGCTTTAAAAATACTTAAAAAATATAAATGTTTATTATGAAACACACCGTTTGCAGTTTGAGTTCATTTCCTGTGACATTTCAGATTTTGACAGGTATGTACTTTTCTCATTATTCTTTGTCTGAGGAAAAAGTTTTCAATGGCAGCCTATTTTTCTGTCTTCTGTTTATATAAAAGACTAGCGGCCCGCCCTCGCTTCGCTTCGGTGTAGAGCTGAAGTGTAGACTACAGTTTTTGTTCTCAGGCTTGTATTATACACAATGACATTCATCTATGATTCTTCTTATACCTGCATGCAAAGTCTCAGCCCGATCGGTTTAAAATTGATAAAGTTTCATACAAACTTTCATTCCTTATTTTATCCCCTTGGGATTTTCTTTATATTTTTTTCCGTAAGAACCTTGTACAGAGTATTAGAAAACTACAAAAAAAAACCAGCCAAATCGGTCAAGCCGTTTTCATGTTATGTCGTGACAACGGAAAACGGGTTTCATTTTTATATATATAGATTATATAAAAGAGGAGTAGGGAGTACTTAGAACTAAAAAGTGAAGGCAAGTAACAAGTCCCGTCTGCTGCCTGGGCCGCGTGGAATTTTTTCTAGTAAAATTTTCTTTAGAATTAAGCATCTAGCATTTAAATCTTTAAAAATATTCGACATCTCCGTGGTCAAGTGGTTTTTTTTATTCCACCCAGGCGGGGGAGCGGGTGTGAAATCCTCATGGATACCCTACAGCCGGCTGCAAGGTTATGTCAGACTCCTACTGACTAAAACAAGCTTCGTCTGAAGCGATTATCCCCTGAGAGGGGGATAATGCAGGGTCAAGTGGTTTGTACGCCGGATTTCATGGTGTCGCCGACTCGAGAGGTCCCGGGTTCGAATCCCGGTGGGGGCAGATGTTTGTGTGAAGAATACGAGCATTTGTACTCCAGTCATGGATGTTTAAAAATGTATTTCTATATATATATACTTATATATGTACAGTATATGTATTCTATCCGTTACCCTAGAATCCCATAACACAAGCCTTACAGTGCTCACTTTGGGACTAGGCTAATTGGTTTGAGTGTTGAAAATATTTATTTATTATTTATTACTAGAAAAAAATCCACGTGGATCAGGCTGCTGCCTTGCAGCCTGAGAAAGGCTAGAGAAAATTCGACACGGCTATCAGGGCCGCGGCAGCATAATGGTCAGTTAAAATTAAAGTAAAAATTTTCTGAGATATCATTGTCTGAATTAGCTAGTAAAGTTTCTTAGATAACTCAAAATTTACGGTGTGTACCTAAGGGCGGAAAAAAACCCCATTTAATCCTCTTTACCCTAATAAACCAGGCTATCCCACGGTACAAGATCGACATCAATACGACCCCCTGGGGTGCCGGTGCGTGCATGTAACTGTGTACCAGCAATTATTTTCGCGGCATCTCTAACATTTCAAATATAATTTTATTGCGCGCCATCTTTAGATCAACACAGTGAAATGGAAGAAGCAGTGTTTTCACACTAAATTATCGTGTGCTTTTTCCATTTTTTGTTTTACATTTTTTTTACTAAATCTTCGATGCTAATAGTGTAAAAGAGTTTCTTTATATTTTTTAATTTTTTAAGCATGTTACTGCTAGATGTTCAAATCCAAAGAAAATATTACCATTAAAACGACGGGTTGCACTCATATAGGTATAAGAATAGAGTAGGGGAGATATATTCTCTACTACAAGTGGAAGAGTCCGCCTAGTAGAAAGAGAAAGAAGATGAGAGACGGCTAGCTATCTCTCTCTCTTGTGACGCTGCAGTCGTGTGATTGGTCGGTATTCATCAGTAGGTTTTTCATCCAATGCGCAACCGCGATTAGAGAGAGAAAGACTAGCCGTCCCTCATCTTCTTTCTCTTTCTACTAGACGAAAATTTATAGAGCCGCCTTCCCCACTCTATTCTTATACCTGTATGGTTGCACTCCGGGAGTGCCGGCAAAAGTGAAAACTTGAATATAAACGTTGTGCATTTTTGATATTTTGGAATGGTTAGGGAATAATTTTGCACGAATTGCTTTAATTATCAGTATAAAAGTACTATCATTTATGTGGTAGAATACCATGTTTATTTATTGCGCTATCATACACAAACATGACAATTTATATTACATTAAAAAGTTTATCTCTCAGAAAAATCAACTTACATGAATCACATTTAAGCGAACCTAGCGACATCTATTGTAAAAAAGTTCCTTTTCTTCGCAATAAAGCTGCCACCTGGACGTCCTAAATAAAGACTTATTATTATAATACGATAAAATCCAATATATTGAAAGTCAACAACCTTTCCAATTTTATTGTTTTTGTCTTACGAATTTTTGGTTAGGTCACGTGTCCAGACCCGATCAGGGCACGTGTCCTGACGCCTATTAAACATTATTTACCCATACAAAAAAAATTGCACAACGCCGCTAAAGAAGTTTTCATTTCAAAAAATTTCACGCTGACCAGGCAGCAGATGGGACAATGTTTCTTTGTATGATTTATTGTGTGTTTGTTTGGTTGAACGCGCTAATGTAAGGTCCGTTTTGGAAAAAACAGAGTGCTCGCGGGACGCATGACAGAAGTGACAACTTAAACTAATCTAAGCGGCGGGTTAGAGTGAGAGAGAAGGAGTCTGGCTACCGCTGTCGTATGCGTGAGAGGAAGGGAATTCAGGCAGACTATTTGCTGTTTTAATGAATTCTATTATTATATGTATGAAAATCATTTCTTCAATGATAAAACTTTTAACAGCTTTATTTGCTCTTTTAATCATTTCTCAGTATATTTAGTTTTTATGGTTTATCTGATTTGAATTTCGTGTTTGTGTTGACGAATTCTTGTTTGGTGGGCTGTCCCTATAAATTTTTTCATACCTAATTTTAAGCATTCTGTGGCAACTAAAATCAGTGCTCTTAGTTCCACTTTAATATAATAGGGATGATGACTATTTTTTTTCTTAGTTTATCAGGTAGTTTATCAAAAATTATTTGACACGTATTTTTTCTTTTTTCAAATAATATAAACATTGCAGAGATATATTGATTTGAAAAGTCGCATGACGTCACGTTTTACAATTAAACAAGTACAATTTTCACTGAAAAGTGACGTCACGAGCCCCTACTCCCAAACTTTGACGCGCTATAACTTTGTCACTTTTTTGGTTGATTGCCCAAAGAAAAAATACTTCTCCATTATTTTTTGATCATCTAACTGACGGACTAAATAGAATTTCGTTTACTGTACCCAGTCATCACCCCTATTCTTCCCATTAGCTTATTGTATTGTAACTGTTACTGATTGTCCTTAAAATAAATACATAAATAATAAATAAAAATCAAGGTAAAAATATGTCGAGAACGTTTGTATGGAAAAAACATCTCCCGCCTCCCCTCTTAAAAAGTCAGACTTCACCTACTGTCACCATTTCGCCTACGCATAATAGACGTAAGATACACGCCACTCGGCTGAGTGATGCCCATCGTATGTACCTTTTTTATCGGCACTTTATTTTTGAAGTATTGCCCCAGTAAACGTATTAAGTGCGCATTACCAGTGTTGGTAATAAACGTATGGAATAAAACCACGAAATGTGGGAATTGCAACTTATGACGTTAAGCGGTTTCTTATAGTTTATAGTTTTTTTTTTTTATATATTTTCAACAGTAACACCAATTAGCCTAGGCCCAAAGTAAGCACAGTAGGCTTGTGTTAAGGGATACTAGGGTAACGGATAGAATACATATAAAAGTATATTTTGAAAGAAATACATATTAAACATCCATGACTGGAGTACAAATGCTCGTATTCATTATACAAACATCTGTCCCCACCGGGATTCGAACCCGGGACCTCTCGAGTCGGCGACACCTTGAAACCCGGCGTATAAACCAATCGATTATTAGCTCGCGCCCGCAGCTGCGTCTGCGTGGATCTTAAAACTTAAAAAATCTTTACCAATGCGATTCTGCAAAATAAAATCTCGCTTTCGAATTCGGTTGCTACCATTTTAGATAAAAGTTTGATATGCATTCATCATCGGCCTATTAATGTCCCACTGCTGGGGCACAGGCCTCCCCAAAGGCAAGCATTCTCACTGTTTTTTATATTAGCATGTTTATAGAATGAAACACACTTAAACGGGCTGCGTCGTCAGGATTCTAACGACGCATAATATACTGACGACGCAGCCTGAAAAGGATGCGACACGTCAAAAATATTATAAAGACGCACTTTAAACCCGTTTAAGGGTGCGGCCAGAGTGCACTCAGATTCAGATTCCGAAAACAAGCGCGAGAAATAAACAGTGTAGTCGAAGGGTACGGCCAGAGTGCACTCCTGATTCAGATTCAGATTCAGACTCAGAAAACAAAGCGCGAGAAAAAGCAGGCAACCTGCTTAGACTACACTGTTTATTTCTCGCGCTTGTTTTCAGAATCTGAATCTGAATCTGAATCTGAGTGCACTCTGGCCGCACCCTTAGAGGGGAGGGCAATGTTTTTTCTATACAAACGTTCTCGACAGGTTTCTCCTTGATTTCATCACTAATGTAATGTTTCATACATCAAATATATTTTTTTCTCATTCGATGCTCCTATCGAGCCGTTACCGCCAAATTATCGTAAGCGACACTTTTGTCGAAATGTGTTTTTTGTGGAAACTAATATTTTAAACCGTAACGGACCCATCTCTGTTGATATTTCCCTCCAAAAGAACACCGTTATAATATAATAGAGGGAAGAATAGGGAGGGAAGAGGGAAATATCAACAGAGATGGGTCCGTTACGGTTTAAAATATTAGTTTCCACAAAAAACGCATTTCGACAAAAATGTCGCTTACGATAATTTGGCGGTAACGGCTCGCTATGTCTTCCTTTTTCCATACTTGTGTTTCAAAGAAACTAGAAGCCCACAAAAATAACAAAAATAAACTATTTTTTATCGATACTTTAGGAGTTGGTCTAGACGAAACAATAAAGTCAATATATGCAAGAACAGTGTAGTTTTATTTAACACTTACAATGGTTATTATTATAATAATAATACATTTTATTTTCTTTAACATTTGATTTAGTTACATTATATACTCATGAATGAAGCCACCTTTTAAGCAAATAATGCCTGTGATAGGTGACTCCGCTCTTCCATATCTTTTTTTTTTTGTGACGAGGGGAAATGCAGTTACGCACCATACCGTGACACAGACTAGGCGCACGGCGTGTGTGGGACTCGCCGGCACGGGAAACAGTGCCGACCCTACTCAAGCAGGACCAGTGCGGAAGGCCACACTGATCCTACTCCACTAAAACCCCCCTGTACCCTCCTACGCCCACATGGGGGCGGTCTCGGGGCCGACGCACCTGCATGCGCCACATCTCCGAGCACGCCCCCGGGCAGGCCCGGCCCAACGAGTGGACCGGGCGACGCGCCTCAGGGGGACTGCGCTAGGGTACTAGGCAGTCCCCAGACGTGGTGGCCTATGCC